GAGATTTACTGAGCTGAAGTGAAGTGGGCAGCACAGTGTTTTAGAAGACAGACGAGCGGCAGGACTCGTAGCACATCATTAATGTTAATAGGCTGTAGAAGCGCTGCCATTTGTTTAGGAAATGGCCTTTGGATGAATATTGGTGTTGGGCAAAGCCTCCATCTCTTATGGGTGATTCGGTTGACTGATAGCACTGATGAATCTGTGTTAGCGTAGCATTATAGAGTCAAGGATGTGGAAATTGGCCTGTGTTTAAGAAAGGTAAATTAAAAAGCCAACACATCCTCCAGCGCTCTTTAGGATCGCCCTATAAAACCCTTAAGGGATTCACATAAAAATGGGTTAATTCTATAATTTCTATAATTAAAAGAAACTAGATGTTGTTGGTTTTTTTTTTTAAGGAAATGTGTTTGCCTGTTTAAAAGTTGCACAACGCTACTGTGTTCTGCAGTTGCCAGGGTGTTGCTATGGAGTCACTGAGGTGTTCTCTTGTTGCTAGGGTGTTGCTAGGTGGTTGTTATGGTAGAACCCCATCATGTTTTAATGATATTCTGGTCTCTAGATATGGCTTATGTCTTTCCTTAAATATACAGTACAATACCGTTTAGAACGTTTTAGAAAACATTTATTCGGCAAGATGCATTTAATTGATCAAAAGTGACAGTAAAGACATTTATAATGTTACAAATAAATACTGTTCTTTTGAACTTTCTGTACATCACAAAAAAATCATGTAAAAATGGTTTGATCATTAATAAAAATCTGAAATGTTTCTTGAGCAGCGAATCAGCATATTAGAATGATTTCTGAAGATCATGTGACACTGAAGACTGGAGTAATGATGCTGAAAATACAGCTGCGCATCACAGGAATAAATTACATTTTACAATATATTCAAATAGAAACAGTCATTTTAAATTGTAATAATGTTTCACAATTCTTTTACAGTTTTTACTGTAGAGTTTATGAAATAAATGCAGCCTTGATGAGCAGAAGAGACTTCTTTCAAAAACATTAAAAAATCTTACTGACCCCAAACTTTTGAATGCTGGTGTCTCATCAACAAGACACATACTAACCACAGGTATGAGGAAGAGTTTTCACTTTAACCCTTGTGCGACCTTTTGGATATTTTTGTCCTTTTCAGTTTTTTTTAATTTTTTTTATCATTTTGCCTGTGTTATTGCCAACTGCATACATTTTGGCACAGGTGTGTATTTTTATTGGAATTTTACTATTTCACTTCCATTTCCTTTAATAAATCTGTTTTGCACTAGGTACAAAAAAACTGTTCCTCTCAGGACCTTAAGGACAAAAAATGTCCCCATTGAAACCCATTAAAACTGCTATTTTTAAACGCAGTGCCATTTAACTGTAAAATTATGCAATTGTTGTTGATAGGCTTTCATTCTATTGGCAAGGCTTTAAAATTTCATTTTTAACTATTTTTTTACCAGATGGTGCCATTTTTTCAGGTTTGACCTATAAAGAAAATACTCGCTTTATTTCTGCTTTCTGCTTCTGCATATTATAGAGCCAATTGGATAAATAATGCAGCTATAATTGTGTGGGTGTGTTGGTATGGATGTCAGAGTGTGGTTTGTATGTGTGTCATAAAAAAAAAAAATTGTGCCTGTGTGTTCTTGTAATATTTGAGAGAGAAAAACTCTACTGCAAATCACAAATCCAACCACTGTGTGCACCAGCAGAGTTTTGCTGGCATCTACTGGGGAAAATTTGGTACTGCGCCCAAACAAAATCTTACTGAAAGCTCATTTGTTGAGATATCAACCTCAAATTGGGAAACAACTTGTTTAGATTTATGGCTTTGATTTTCTAGCAGGTATAGAGTTCAACATGTTTCATAAAATATATATTTTATATAAAACATCGTTCATAAATCATTTTCATAAACCTAAACATCTAGAACTTTTTTTTTTGGTTTCACTTTTTAAACTTTTTTTACTTCAACAATAATGCTTCTTTAAATGAGACCAAACTTAACTCTGTGCTCCCTAGCGTCAAATTTTTTATGACTTATGAAACTTTTTTTAATTGATGCACAAGGGTTAAATCAAACATTTCCTAACTGAATAACCTGTTAGATATCAGTTTCACAGTACAGGTTCTCCTTTTGCTAATTTCCTCAAAGAAGGACGTTTGAAAACCTGCATGGCCTCAGCCGGAGGTCTGCTGATGGCATCTATTGCCGTATCATTTCACCAAAACATTCTGTATGATTTTTTTTAAACAGACTATTGGTTTAAAGGGAAGTGGAAGAAACAAAGTATGAAGTCATAGGTTTCTCGTCACGGTGGGGTAGAAATGAGACGATAGAGCTGTTTACACAGGCTGCGAATATTGAAATACCTTTGAGCCTGTGGGAAGCCATTAAAAATAATGGCTGATCTTTTATTAGAAGTGACATCATATTATTTTTTTTATCTGCACTGTGAGATCTTGCCAAGCATTGTGACGGGTTTGTTTTTCTTGTCCACATGTGATGTGTATCTCCTGCGTGTTTTTGATGTGAGAAAGTTTTGGCTTGATACTGAACCTCTGAGACCACGATAAAAATGATATGATCAATAAGTCATGGCAGAATATGTATTTTCATGACTTAAAATATTTGACCAATTTCAACTGGGTGTTTTTATGTTTTACTCAGGTTATAAAAACTGAAACTAAAACTGAAGCCATAAACAATACTTGAAATAAACATGAACTGAAATAAAACAAAATAAAATATAACTTTTTTTAAATGTAATCTCTTTGCCAAAGCAAGATTTCTCATTTTAAGTAAGTTTAACTTGATGTACTAAAATAACTCAAATTAAAAATGAAATAAAAATTTATAATATATATATATATATATATATATATATATATACATTTAAAAAAAAAGAAGGAAAAACTATTAAAATGACGAACACACAACAAAATAACTAAAACTTTAACTAGAATTAAAACTAAAAAGATAAAAATAAAAACTGATTTGAAAAATATTTTACATCAGTTTAACTTATATAGCTAAACAAATATAGCTAAAACGGAAATAAAAATTTATAAAAAGTAAATAAAAATATTAAAAATGACAAAACATGCAGCAAAATTACTAAAACTTATTACTTTAACTAAGATTAAAATAAAATGGAAATTAAAAGGCAAAATATGAAAACAAAAAAAATATAAAAATAAAAACTAATTAGAAATATTTTCCATTAGTTAAACTTGATGTACTAAAATAACTAAAAGGGAAATAAAAATGAATGAAAACGATATAGACATTTAAAAAAAGCTATTAAAAATGACAAAATTACTAAAACTTTAAATAAAATTACAATTAAAATGGAAAACATAAAAATAGAAACTGATTCAAAATATAAATAAAACCACAACAGTATCTCTAATACTAAACTAACACGGCATTATACGAGATTTTTTTAAATGAGTTGAAATGACTTGTACAGCCAATTTGATTATACTTTAAAAAATTAAGCTGAAGGAGGATGAAATCATTTACAGTGCACATATTTTTATATATAAACAATTGTCAAGTAAAAATATTAACAGATGGTCTCCACAGAAATTAATCATGTCTGTCTGTCTGTCTGTCTGGGATGAATTATGAGGCGAAGTTTAATATTTTTATATGCCCAATAGCAATAGTGATGGTTTCTGTAGCCAGCAGCACTAATAATTATCCTAAGCTGTCTCCTTATATTTAGCCCGATATGTTGGTTTTATTGGCTTTGCGTTTAGTCTTGCAGAAATGACAGCTTCATTTTACAATCCTTTGGTTTGTGCTGATGTGGGTGGGCTTTTTGAAGACTGCCAGTGGTCATGCATTGTGTTCATACCAAATAAACATGTCCAGGACCTATCTGGACTCGGCCAGCTGGTTTCTATTCACGCAGTGCAAACACGGCCAGAAATTGTGCTTTCAAAAGCCTTATGCAACACACTGTGAGCTCCAGCCAAAAGAAACCTTCATCTGAGAAACGGTGAGCAATCTCCCGATGATGTTTCTGTAAGTGATCGCTATTTTCTTCAAAAACAAGAAGTCACAGAGGAACTTCACTTTCCTCGGCGTGTAATAATAGACAGCGACTGTAACTTCGCACATGTGCTGCTTTTAAAATCTATTTGCTTAATATTGTGTTTCCAGAGCGCGCTCAGAAAGCTAAGCGAGCGTAAAATGGGCCTTAAGTGTCTCGACATGTGTTCATGTTTCAAGCATTAACAATACAATCCAAAAAAAAAAAACGAACATCCCGTGTGATGTGATCCAGCCTGAATAGTTTAGAAATTGGTCGTTTTGCATAGAATTGCCATTTGTTTTGACCAGGTTTCTTTAGAGGTAGTAAAATTCTCTTCCACCGACTTTAAATCTTTGTCCTGAAACAATTAATTATTTTATTATATTTTGTTATAGAAGTATTTATTACACTTATTGATATTTACTCTTTTAGTTAAGGATATTATATTATATTGTATTATATTATATTATACGTTGCAAACAATTATTACATTATATTATATAAAATTATATTATACTGTATTATACGTTGCAAAAAAATATTTTTTTACTTAGTAATTTTGTCTTGTTTTCCATTACAAACATCTAAACATTCTTAACCCATAATAAGAAAAATAATCTAGTTTTACATTTGAATTAAGAGAATTTTTCTTACCCCTTTGGCAGATGTTTTTACTTGTTTTAAGAAAAACTATCAAAACAACAAAATCAAGACTTCATATCTTAAGTCATTTTGCTTCTCGAGTAAATGTGTCTTGATTCAAGGATGTTGTGGATAGTTGTGATAGAAAACAATACAACAATGCTAAAAAAAAAAACTTTTTTGCAGTGTATTATTCTATTCTATTCTATTAAAAAAATAAAATATAAAATGTATATGCACTAGCATTAAAAAATGTGGTATTGGTAAGATTTTTTTAATGTTTTTGTTGTATCTTTTGTTCACCAAGGCTGCATTTATTTGCTCAAAAACATAGTAAAAACACTAATATTGTGAAATGTTTACGATTTGATATAGCGGTTTTCTATTTGAATATATTTTAAGATGTAATTTATTTCTGTGATGCAAAGCTGAATTTTCAGCATCATTACTCCAGTCTTCAGTCAATATGCTTATTTGATGCTTAATCAACTTTTCATATTATTAATGTTGTAAACCATTTTGCGGCTAAACATTTTTGTTTTGCATAAACTCACTTAATTTTGATACATTTTTCAGAAAACGAGACTTAATATCTTAAGTCTTAACATTTTGCCTTTCAAGTGCATTTACAAAAATACTAAATAAGAAAATCACTTTTGAATCATTTCTAGGAAGGTAAAGATCTAGATTTTGAAGTAAGCGGTGTATGTTCGCGTCCCGCAGGCTGAGACGTGGATCCGAGCGAAGCTGCGAGACCTGAGGGACGCCAGTAACGTCCACAGATGTCCTCTGACCGACTGGGAGGAAGTTTGTCAAACCCTCCAGAGAGATTTGAAGGACTTTGAGAACACCATCATTCAACTCAACCAGGTTAGGACAAATCGTCTTCATCAGGAGAGTAAAAGATTGATGAATCATCCTCAGGTTTCAACAGGTTCCTCGGCCAAAATCAACAAAAGAAGTTCTCCCTTTTGCGAATAAACGGCAAAACATTTACAAATTGTTATGGTAACAATCATAATTTCTTTTTAATGTCGACTTGTCAAAACACAATTTGAACAGCTCAGCTTTGACAAGACCTGCAGAGCCTCAGAAACCTTTTTGTGAGACGTCCAAAATCACATAAAATCTCAAGTCATTCCATTCTTTTTTTTTTTCCTAGCACAGATGCTAAATTTGTCCTTTTCCCTTGAAATAGGACATTGCAAATAATTAACCTCTGCTGACACACGTCCCTGGTGGGTTGCAAAACTGGATCTCCTGTTAGTCATAAGAACGAGGACTTGGGTGGATTTCAAGCGCGCTGATGTGATTAAGCTGTTGTTTTAGTGGACCGTAGGTCTTTTGTAGCTCATGTAACGCTGCTGAATGTTTGTGCAGATGGGAGAGCAATTAATGTGCAAGCTTAACCCGACATCTGACCTGGTGAAGAAACATCTGGCTCAGATCCTCGACCAATGGAACGCGCTCAAACAGACGGCAGCCAATCAAATCAAGGCAATGGGCGGGGCTAAGGCCCTCCAGGAGTTTAATAAGAAGGTGGACCGTCTGGAGTCGTGGATCAAAGCGAAGGTTAAACACACCACTAAACCTAGTTATAGTAATTAACTCTAGTTTTGGGGTTTTGTCCTAAATCGATAATGTTAATGGATCTTAGAGGGTTATATAGAGAACATGGAGACATGTTGGTGATTCTGTCATGGTCACTTTTCAATCCGCAGACAAAATAAATAAATAACAATTTATATTTTAAAGAGAAATGTAAGAAAAATAAGGATATTTTTAGGCACATTACGATTTTAATTTTTTTTTGCATTGTGACATCATCATGATATATTTTCCTGAAAACACATTTTCCATAAAATTCTGATTTATTGTACATACTTTAATGCATCCAGATGCTTCACTTTTGAGCTTTTTTTGTAATTTATTTTATTTTTTTAATTATTCTAATGAATGTAAAATAGTAAAAACATTTTGTAACACAATTTATTTAAATTGTACAATTTGTTCATTAAAATTTGCAATTACAATTAAACATTTTTTAATAAGTCTTATTTTAAGGCAGTACAAAAGCCATGATGTGTATGTGTGTTTGTTTTTGTCAGTAAAATACAGTATTTAAATCAATTATATACATTTTTTAAATATGGCCTCGACATGTTTTTGACAGGTTTCATGAGATTTACCTGCTAACTATTAATGAGTGAGTGTGTAAAATAAAAATTGGGTTAAATGTAATTCTACATTTATCAATATTTTATTATTATTCTACCATAAGTTTCAGAGCTTACTGATCGTGTAAATGATAAAAAATACATGATAAATACAAATAACTGATAAAAAATTACTTTATAATATTTAATTTTTCATGGTAAATATCACTTTTAGTTGAACATAACCAAAGATATCAGAATTTGTTTATGAATTATACACAGATTTAACAAACTTTAATTGTCATCAAATTGTTTTGTCATCAGATTTTGGTAGTTAGTGTGTGTGTGTGTGTGTGTGTGTGTGTGTGTGTGTGTGTGTGTGCATATATATAACCCTTATATTTGTGTATATGTTTATATGTGTGTGTGTGTATATATGTATATATATATAACCTTGTATATGTATGTGTATGTATACAGTAAATATATATATATATAAAACCCTTATATGTGGATATGTGTGTGTGTGTGTGTGTGTGTGTGTGTGTGTGTGTGTGTGTGTGTGTGTGTGTGTAGTATTTACAGTATGTTTTGAAATACAATTTAGAAAATGTTTGGTTTGCAACACAACATAGAATGACCCATGTACATTTTCACATTGAAATATTTGTTTCTTGTGGGATTTTGGTCATATTATTCTTTCTTACTGTTTTCCTTCACTCGTTAATCTTTGGCCTGCTTTGCATCTGCATCCAAGAAGCCGAAGTGTTAGTTATCAAGTCTGTTTTACATCTCACCATGGTAGCCAGGCTCATTTAGAACAACAGTAGCTGTATTCAAAGAAAACAATCGCTGGACTACAACAGTTCAGGGCTGTAAAGCTTTTATATGTGTCAGCAGGAGCAGGAACAATCGCTGGCCAACATCCTTGGGGAAAACACTGACAAGATGCAGCTTACCAGGAAGATACTGGATTTGAAACAGGTGCGTGATTCTAGACAGCAAACACTGAAATTGCTGCTAAATTCTCAGCATGCCTCAATTATCGCTACTGGAAAACAGTTGGCTTTTTTGAGAGTATTTGTTTTATCGTCCAATTTAGTACCATTGTTTACCTGTACGCTAGCAAGTGCTTCTGATTTGCAATGCAGGCCATCATTGCACATATAGGCTGTCATTCATTGTACTTTCTCACAGATGTCACTGCTTCACTAGCAACCCTAAAGCCAATTGAAACTGCCAGTTGTACTTTTAGGGTGGGGGATATTAGCCAAAAATGTGATCCAAGCACCTAGAAGAAATGTGTCTTGGTTAAATGTAAGATCATTAGAGCTCAGGAAACCTTGTGTGTCTGACTTTCTTTCAGGATGAGCAGCTATATCATAATCTTCATGAGGAGATCAATCATATGGCCCTCAGACTGGAAAAACAGGGAAAGACTGAAGGAAAGACCATCTCAACCCGCAGGAAACATATCAACAAAATGTTAGTGCACGTAATAATAATAATTAGCAATTTAATAATCATTTGAATAAATATATATATATACAGTGGAGATCAAAATTAGAGGACAACCTACAATTTCCTAAATTTCAAGGTCACTGCTTAGTCTTATTTGAAGTTAGCATATTTCATAAATTAATTGTATTCTGAAGCACAGTATAAAAAAACTTAAATGAGATATTTGAAAAAGAACACTTAGAGAACACTTTCAGATACCTCCAAGTTATTATCTTGACAAACCCTGTTTAACTGGCAGCATTCCTCTAATTTTCACTGAGATTGGTAGATGGCGGGCCGCTCTAAGGTGACTAAAAGCCTGAGACAGGAGGCAGTCCAGATGAAGACCAAAGGGACAACCCTTTCAGCCACTGCAAGAGAAGCTGGACGTTCCAAATCTGTGATTTCTAGAGTATTGCAGCTTCACAATGACCCTAATTAATTTAAGTCCCCCAAAAAGGCTGGTCGTCCACATAAGACAAATGAAAGAGAGGACAGGATAATGCAGAGACTCTCAATGTGGAATCGGTTCAGCACTGCAGCTGGAATTGCTCGTCAGTTCTGCGCTGATCAGGGTCTGGATCTGTCTCGACTCATTTAAGAGAAGTCGGACCGAAAGTGCACTCTGCAGTGATCAAGCCTCTCATCAGCAAAAAGAATCAAAAGGCTAGACTCACCTTTGCTGAGGAGCATGTTGTGTGGAGAGAGGAGAACTGATCCAAAGTTCACTTTAGTGATGAGAGCAAGCTTAGTTTATTTGGGTCTGATGGGAAACATTATGATCAGCGTCAAACTGGGGAAAAACTGAAGCCGAGTGCGTAAAGAATCAGAGAAAGCTGGAGGGGGAAGTGTGATGGTTTGGGGAATGTTTTCTGTAACAGGAATTTGGTCTCTTATACAGATACATAGCAGGTGAATGCAAATGTTTATCAGAACCTCCTTCAGCAACACGCAGTTCCTTCCCTGCAAGCATCTCCCAATCAGCCAAAGACAATGTTCCCGTCACACTGCAAAACGGGTAAAGCAGTTATTGAAGCTGAAAACACTGAAATAATGAAATGACCGGCCCAGAGTCCTGCTCTAAACACGACTGAAAATCTCTGGAAAATCCTTGGCGACAAAGTTCTGGCTAAGAAACCCACTACAGTCACCGAACTATAGAAGAGACTGGAAGAAGAGCGGAGCAAGATCACAGCAGCGCAGTGTGAGAAACTAGAGATGTGCTGAAGTCACTCAAAGCAGAGCCTCGACAATTCCTACTGATTTCTGACTGCTGTAACCCTCCAAAATATCAGTTGTAATCTTCTTTCCTGCTACAGTGGTTTCTGTACTCTGATTTTTATCACGGTGTTTCCACAAAACAAAGATTTTGTTGAAATGCTTTGGTTATTTTGTCAAACATGATAGTATAACAGTGGTCTACCTACAGCTAATATTCCTTCAAATTTTGAGCGATGACGATTAACAATATTTCAGAAAAAATCAAGTACTTGTAGATTTTTCTCTAATTTTGACCTCCACTCTATGTATACATTCATATAATTATAATTTTTGTATGTATTTATTATATAAATAAACAAATACATGCATAAATATACAAAAAATATTCAAAGCTAATAATGATATCACATCATTATATGAATAATTAAATAATGCATACACAAATAATAATAATTACTCAAATGATTATAATTTAACAATCAAATAATTTTTTTTATTTATTAACTACCTAGGTGGCTGAAGGCCCAGTCGCACCTGAAAGAATATCAGGAGAATCTCCAGCTCGCCCTCGAAGTCTCGTCCTTCTACCAGCAGGCCGATAACATTGTCTGTTCCATCGACAGCATGGTAGTCATTTAGCTTCATTGTGCTATTTCTGTTCAAACCCTGCAGGAAACCCAGTATCTGTGGCGTTTCGCTTCGACGTGTCCTCTGATGCGAATATAACCTGACTGTGTCTGTTTGTTGACATGCTGATGTAGTCTAAGAATGTTATTTACGGTTTGCTCTTCTTTTTTAACTTCTCATCCAGAGAAAAAGCCTCTCTGCGAGCAACGGAGTGGAAAATGCCAGAGATGGGGAAATTCGGGACGTTGCCAGTCAAATCATGGTGTGCGATCCAACATTCACATCCCATTATAGTCACACGCTTGACCCTAAACGCGTTAGTTCACGGTCCAGCTCTGTGTCAAACACCATCCTGACAGCCGTGTTTGTTTTCCTGTCGTTCTGTGTGGTTTCAGATGCTGGATGTGAGCGTTTCCCAGCTCTCCAACCTGCACCCGGCGCTGGCGGCCCGCGTCACACAGAAGCAGAGCGAGGTGAAAGACTGCTGGACCGTCCTCCAGAAGACTCTCAGGTAACGCAGAGCAGCAGAGTTATAAACCACACAAGCCCTACGGTGTCCTCTCAGGGACAAGAGCCATTTCCCTCCGTAATGGGCTTTCCACAGAGCCGAAGGCGCTTTCCACAATCCTGTTTTTGTTGCATTTGTATTCCCCACCAGCAACCGCATGGGACTCGGCCAGCAAACCGCTTCCAAATGATAATTAGATGCATATAAAAGATGTGTGCTTATTTTCATAATGCCACCAATTACTGATCTGAATTTCTCCTTCTGTTTAGTGTAACACTTTGAAACACTAAACACCAAAACAATATCGAATTTAGTTGGAAACGACGCTTAAACTCTCTCTCTTTTTTTTGCAATTTGCTCAATGAATCCAAGTTCGAGCTTGTTTTGTGTTTTATTGCTCCATCATCTAAAGCGTCCGTATTGATTTCATCATCGTTTGAGGTTTAAATGTCTGCTCCCCAGCCCAGTTAGTCAAATAAATTATGCAATTAGAGGAATTTATTTGTTATATTAAATGTGTAAGAGTTTATTTGGGCAATACAGATGTTTAATCGAGATGAATGCATAAGTTACTAATGGTAAAATAATACATTTTTGCATTTTTTTATTAGTAAATTATAAGTATTATTTAAATAATTATTAAATAATACATGTATAAATATTCATGTAATTATTAAAATAATTATCAAATAGCTAATAAGAATATAAATTATAATATTATATTTTTAAATAATTAAAATACAAATATTTTAATTATTATATTTTATAGTAATTATAATTGTTAACGTTATATAAATAATAATTACTTTATTACTATTTAATAATTACATTTTGAATAAATACATATACATTTAAATATTCATATAATTATTCAAATAATGATTAAATAGCTAATAAGAATGATAAAATTAACAATGTTATTATATATATA